TAATTGTAACAGATCATTTCAGCACAGATTAAGCTTGTATGCGAAAGGAAAGGATTTGGCTACAATAACCTCACTGTAGGTATGCCATGCTAAAAGCCTTATTATGGTGACTTTATTGGGTTGAAACGTGCATTTGCATGGCAAAATGTGACTTTCATTGAAGCAGATGTCTTGATCACAAATTATCTTACAATGCGCTAGAAAAAAAAATTCTTAAAGACTTCTGAAAGTAAAAGCATTGAGTAATACCAATTAAAAGAAAATCACTAATGAGTTCATTCAGCGCAGCTCTTCTCAACTGTTCCAGGACTGTAGCTGCCCACGTTCATTTAGTGGGGGTTTGTGGCACCTACCCCAAACCCAGACAGGTACCCCCGGCACTTAAACAAGCATCCAGATATTTGCAACATTTCACCACTCAACACGTGTCTTTTACATCTAATTGTGGTCGAACGAGCCATCCACATCCAGGTGCTCTTCTTCTCCCCTCTCCCCGCCAGTCGAAGCATAAGCGAAAGTTTAAATGTACAGGAATGTTTGAGTTTATTGGTTTTTTTTATCCGGGAATTGTATCTGGGCAGAGAGGGGAGCAGCCATCCCGCAGGCACCGCGCAGATGTAGGGATGTACGGAGGGAGGCCCAGGAGGGAGCGGAGCCCCGGCCGTCCGCCCCCACGGTGCCCAGCCTCGGCAGCGGGAAGCGGGGAGGCGCATCCCGCAGCAGCGCCGGTTTTCACTGCACATTACTTTTGCCACCTAGCGTCAACATCTTTTCAAGTGGCCTGCGCTGCTTCGCAAACTTTGCTGTGGCGTTATCGCCGGGAAAGGAAGAGAGACAGGAGAAAAACATCATATCTAGTTTACTAAGCGAGTGGGGCGGGGAGAAGAGAGCGGCAGAATCTGTGTTGAAATTTGGGGGTGGCCCATCGGTGGAGGCGAGAAGTGATATATCACCGCGGATCTTTTAATCTGCGCGAGATAGAAACTTGGTCCACTAGCATTCCCTTGCTTAAAAAAAAAAAAATGAAAGAAAAAGTTACACACGCGAGGGCTTTAACTTAGTGATAGGGAAAAAAACCCAAAAACAAACCACCAAACCACAAAACAACCGAAAAAACTTGCCCCCAAATCCTTAACAACCCCCCTTCGGTACCGGGTATTTGTTAAATTGACGTGGCACAGATTTCTCGATTACCGCTGCTGAGCGTGACTGAAAGGCGCCGTGAGAGCCGGCAGGATCCTGCCCACGGCGCTCATTCTTCTCCGGCTTAATTTATGCCACGCGATTCTGTATTGGGGAAATCAAGCAGAAAGCTCCTTTTTCTGCTTTTTTCCCCCCTCTCCCTCTCTCTTTCAGAAGCTGGGCTAACGGGGAGACTGTTTAACTTAAGTGTTTCTATAGGAGGCTGTTGTAGTTTAACTCCTGCCCACCAGTAGCTGAGGCGAACAAAGGAGGGACTCGAGGTCTAACTATTCATCCATTCTCTGCACTTTAATTTTCATTGATTTCGAAGACAAGGGGAGCCCTTAGGGATTCTCGCTGAAGGGGGATGACACGCCTTTAGACGCGATCAGCCCCCCAGCCAGCCATCTGCTCCCAACCAAATGGCGCTTTTTCGCTCCCAACCGCGTGTCTCCGCACCGCGCTCGCCCCCGGCCCCCGCCGCCCCCGCGCTGTTAAACCGTGCCCGCGCACTGACACCGACCCCCGCTGCCGGGGACGGACGGACGAACGACCGCCCGCTCCCGTCCCGTCCCGTCCCGTCCCGTCCCGTCCCGTCCCGCCGCCCTGCCCGGCCGCACCCGCCCAGCCGTGGTGAGCCGGCAGCGGGACCCCCGAGTGGAGGGCGCGGAGCCCTGGGCCCCTCCAGGGCGCGGTGACCCCGCGCGGCCGGGACGCTGCGGGCCCGGCCCCGCCTGCTAGCGGCTCGTTGGGGCTGGTGGAGCATTGTGCTTGCCCTCCTTGCCCCTAATTGTTACCCTTCCCGCAACGCCGGCCCCCCTCTCCCGCCCCGGCAAGGATTTACGGTGGCGCCGCGCAGCAGCGCCTAGAGCTCCCCATCAGCCGGAGCTTTTATTTCTAAGCGAGCCAGATTATGGGAAAAGTCACTTCAAAAGGGGGAGTGTGGGGTGTGGGATATGCGTGTGTGTTAATTAGGGCTACGCGCTGCCATCGCTGGCGCGCAACCTTGATTTTTCCCCGGACGGAGGGCTCCGGGCATATGGCGAACGGTGCGTCGGCGGAGGGACGTGTACGTGTGGAGCTATGTGTAGCCGAGTGTGCATAATATTTTAATTAGGTCTATAGTCCCTACGGAGGTATGTGTGCGAGGCTGCCCTCCCGCCGCAGCCCTCCCCGCACATCCCCTTCACCTGTCCCTCCGGGCCGGGCCGGACGGGATGGGATGGGAAGTGGGGGGAGGGCAAGCAGGGTGCCGCCGGGCCTGGGCTCTAGCTCACCCGTCGGCTCCAGGCTCGGAGGCATGATCGGGGTGCCGGTGCTGCCCCGGGCCCCGCCGCCGGGCGCCGCGACCCGAGGTGGGTGGGTGGGGGGCGCGGAGGTGCCGCGGTGCCGGAGGGGCGCTCCGCCGCCCTTGCCGTGTGCGGGGAGGGGGATTAAGAAGTTTAGCGTGTAGGTTAGCCCAAAGTTGCAAAGGCATGTGCTGATTAGAATAAGAAAGGGCAGTCGCGTGGCTCAGCTGGCACACAGCGAGGCCAGATGATAGATAAGCAGCTCTGGGTCTTCCCTTCCCCCCAGCCCCCTTTTTCAAATCGCAAATCATCTGCTCCGGCCCTATCCTAGCCCCTCATTTTCATTACAATGGTTGTGTGTTTACCTGTGATCCTGGGACGGGGCATTCCTTTGTCTCCCGAAGAGATTACCGCAGCCAGCTGCTCTCCAGCCCTTCCCTGGGCAAATCCCGAAGTGGCCCCTATATGTGTTTTACAGATTGCTCACGAGGAGAAAGCGAGCCCCCCCCACATCCCCCCCTCGTTTCCCTACCATACTTGTTTGTTTGGGTTTGCTCCCTGGCTTGCTTCCGACGGGATTTTGCTTGTTGGAAACTACGAGGGATAAAATTGGTCACTCGTGTGCGTGAGCTGTCGTTGCTCCCGAAATGGGAAAGGTGCAGGGCTTCGTACTCCCGCCAGAGGGGCAGAACCACAGGGCGTCCTGAGGATGACAGGACATTAGGGGCTTCCCCCACCTTACCTTTCCCCGGCCCTAAAGTTGCCCTCGGTCAGGGACAGTACTGTCTCCCAAACCTCCCGTGGGTGCCCTGGGCCAGGCAGGTACCATTCTTTCCCTCAGGCCCTGCTCCGGTACATGGAGATCCATAGGCCCTCATGCCCATGTTACTCTGGGGAGCAGCTCGGCCTCGCATTTGGAGTACTGGTATCTTGGCCTGCCTTAAAATGAAGGATTCTCATGATCTTCAACATGCAAGAAACCAAAGATTTTAACTAGAAAACCTTCTGAAGTCCCTTCACACATGAAATATCCCATGATCCTGAGATTTACCCTGTGCCTCACATCCCATTCACCCTGTTAGCCAAGCCTGGTGTAACCCCATGCAGCGCTGTGGCCTGGCTTGTCTTGGCGGGGGTGTCACAGACAAGGAGGGTGAGTGATAGGGCTCAGATCATGTACACAGGATAAAAAAATGTGACGGCACTTCTCAGAAAAATGTTTTGCATTCTGGCCATAAGATTTCACTGGATGGCTGGAAAGATTCCTTCCTGCTACCAGCTTCAGTAGAAATATTCACTGCCTTCACCTGTTCTCATAGGGAAACTCCTTTTGCCCAGCTTTATTAAGCATCATCTTAAGCCAGAACTCCAAATAGTAGCTGCAAACTACCACTCCAGACAGTAGCTGCCCAGACCGCTCTCTCCCTGTGACAGTAAGCACAGCATGTTGCTGTACTGCACTGCATTTCATGCATGAAGGATTTTTCTGTTCCCCTGTGGCCTGCAGCCCCTTCACACAGTGTGTGCAACTTGTGCATTGTATGCTGACTGCAGCGCAAAACCTGCTGCTAATATACTTTGGAGGAGGAGAAGGGGGAGCAGTTTCATCATATGTTTTCAGGGCTTTCCAAGCCACTTCCAATTTGCACAGCTTTTATTTCTTTCTGCATTTTCTTCCATGGCAGGGAAGGCAGGGAGGAGAGAGAAGGTGGGGGCAAAAACTCCTCTGCAGAAGGTGATTATGAGAAAAAGGATGGATATGGATGGGGCGGGCCTGAGCTTTTGGAAATGCTGTCCCCTTTTCTGAGAGCATCTGCCCGGAGACGAACAGATGTGGGCACCTGCGGTGACAGGCCACATATGCTCTATCCTATTCACAGGCATTCAGACACGGCTACAATGGTGAGGCTTTGTGCACATGAAGTCACCAAATATATTAATCTGCGCTCCCCAGAGAACCGCTCTGTTTAATTTTTCACCGGCAATAACATCTGATCTAATCTTCCCATCGGCTCTCCCGTGCCCCTCTCTCCCCTCCCGGACAGATGTGAAGTTATTCAGGTCCCCACCTGTTGCCGGCGGGGTGGGAGCGGGCCGTGCTCTCGGCGCGCCCGCAGCCGAGCCCTTATCTCTAGCCCGGGATGTGCGGCGGGTGCGCCCGGGGGAAAAACGGGAGTTCCCCTCCGCCGGCAGTCGCCGGGCACAGCAAAGCGAACCCGCCCCCCCTCCTTAGGTCGCGCTGCCAAAGAGCGACATAAATCTCCGGTGTGCGACTCGGGGGGGTTCAAGCGATTTCGGTGCGCGACGCTTTCATGTCCCCACGGTCCCCCGTCCCCCCGCCCCGGCCACGTTTGCTCGTGGGCACAATGGCCTCTCCGGCCCCATCGTGGCCGTACAAAGCCGGGGGACCCCATCCCGCGGGCGGGAACAGATGCGGGTCCCACCAGCCCGGCCCCCCTCCCGCAGCCGGCCGTGCCCGACGGGGATCGGGACCTCCCCTGCCCGCGCCTCGGCACCGCCCCCGCCGCTGGGCGCAGGCGCGGCCCCGCCCCAAGGGAAGCGGAAGCGCCGCTCGGGTCAGTGCGGGGCGGCGGTTGGCGGGACTGGGGGGCCGGGGGGTGGGCGCGGACTCAGCCCCGTCCCCGTCCCCGTCCCCGTCCCCGTCCCCGTCCCCGTCCCCGTCCCCGTCCCCGTCCCCGTCCCCGTCCCCGTCCCCTCACGGACCCCGGAGAGGCGGGGTCCGGCCCTGTCGGGGCTGGGCGCAGAGGCCGCCGCAGCTCGCGAGATCTTTAAAGGCCCCTTCCAACCCAAACCATTCTGCGATTAAAGAGGGTGGCATTCAAAAACTCTGTCTGGAGTGTGTTAGATCTTTAAACTCCGAGGATCCGGGAATACCTTTAAAAGCTGTCAATTCAGAATGTTGTGTTTTTTTTCCTTTTTGAATTCCATAAGCATGTTTTGGGGTTTTTTTAATAATAAGACATCTATACTCGTTTTTCTGCCTAGGCATACTTTTCTAAAGGCTATAAATCTGAAAATTTTTGTCATATTTATGAAAACCTTTTGATATTTACTTATTTCTCTGATATAAAAACCAGAAGTGGAAGGGAGAATGAATGCTTATGTCTGGTTTGTTGATGGCAAGGAAACTGTTTCAAACTGTTACAAGGCCAGGACAAGGCAACAAGCTATCAGCAAAAGCAGAAAAACAGCAGTTCAGTTTCCAGGCTGCTGTCTCTTTTTTTGCTTGTAGAATATCTTTATGGTTTTTTTTATTGCATTTTAGAACGTTGTTTTTATTTTTCTTCTTTCAGACTGCAGTGAGTTTTGGAGAGAACAGCCATGGGCGTTAGAGGTTTGCAGGGATTTGTGTCAAGAGTTTGCCCTGATGCGTGCAAAACAGTAGATCTGAGAGAAATGGCAGAAAAACATCGTGTCGATCATCCTGATTTCCCACCTGTTATTGTAGTAGATGCCATGAGTTGTGTTAGATACTGGTACACACCAGAATTTTGGGTGTGTGGTGGCCAGTGGCGGGAGTACCTTGCCATTTTAGAGGATTTTGTTAACGTTTTTATGGCAGCTGGTATCAAGTTGGTGTTTTACTTTGACGGAGTGGTAGAAGAGAAAAAGAGAGAGGAGTGGATCAAACGGAGGTGGAATAATACCAAGGAAATAGCCAGACTATTTCAGTTTATTAAGACTCACAGGAAACAACCGGGCAGAGAAATGTTTGTTCTTCCCTCAGCTTTGCCTACTTTTACACGTTATGCCCTGAAGTCACTTGGTCAAAAAACAGTATGCACATTGCAAGAGGCAGACTTTGAGGTGGCTGCATATGGTTTGCAACACAACTGCATAGGAATTCTGGGGCAAGATAGTGACTACCTCATCTATAATACATGTCCCTACTTTTCCATTGAGAACCTCCGTTTGGACAGACTGGTCACTGTTATGTACTCTCGAGAGGAACTTTGCAATGTGTTGGGTATTAGTTTGACACACCTCCCTCTCTTTGCTGCCTTGCTTGGCAATGATGTTGTTCCAGAAAGCTTGTTGGAAGGCTTTTGGCACAAATGTTTAGCCACCAGTCCCCACAAGAACAGCAGCTACAACAGAAGAACAAAAATACTTCTAGGTGTAGCAAATTACATCTCAAAAATTCCATGCTCATACAGCAGCTTGAAACACTTGGAAGACATGCTACCTCTGGGATCAGACAAAACCTTGCTTTACAGAGGAATAAAGTCCTATCTTTTACCTGGGCAGCAGTCTCCATGGATTCCTCCCAATGTAACAAATTGTCAAATGTTATCTCTTCAGCAGCAATCAGTCATCTGTCAAGATAAAGAAATCTTTCAGGTAACTTGTTTTTTAAAGCTTAGCGATCACTGTATTGCCATGACAACTTAGTGGAAGTTGGTAATTAGTACACTGAACCTATTGAATTAAATTTGCTTGTGCAAAATCTTTTGTCTGTTAAGTAGAGCCATGATTAGGACTATTGCATGCATCACTATGAGGGGAGATGCGGCACATTTAGTTAAAAGTGGTTCTCTTTTTGAAGCATCAAGCAGGTCTAATAATGTGGAGCAACTGCTATATAGGCCAATAGCTGGGCATAGAGATGTACTTCCCATGTATTACATGATGTATTGACTTCCTTTTACTTTGAGAACCCACAAGTCAGCCATAAGCTGGTCAGTGGTTTGCTTGGCTGTGCCTGGCACATGCAGTCAAGGTGCCAAAGAAAGCTGTGCTAAGAATGCAGAAGTTGAAATTGTGGTGGAAACTTCGTACAGAATAGTATCTTAGAATTGTAGAATGGCTGGAGTTGGAAGGGACCTTAAAGATCACCTAATTCCAAACCCCTGCCCTGGACAGGGACACATTCCACTAGACCAGGTTGCTCAGAGCCCCATCCAAATTGGCCTTGAACACTTCCAAGGATGCTCCACCACTTGTCTGGGCAACTTGGGCCAGTGCCTCACCACCCTCACAGTAAAGAATTTTTTCCTAATAACTAATCTAAACCTACCTTCTTTCAGTTTAAAGCCATTTCTCCTTGTCCTGTAACTACATGCCTTTGTGAAAAGTCCTTTTCCAGCCCTCTTGTAGCTCCCTTTAGGTACTGGAAGGCTGCTCTAAGGTCTCCCCAGAGCCTTCTCTTCTCCAGGCTGAACAACCCCAACTCTCTCAGCCTGTCTTCATAGGAGAGGTGCTCCAGCCCTCTGATCACCTTTGGACCTGCTCCAAGAGGTCCTTCCTGTCCTGCGGAGCCCAGAACTGGACACAGTACTCCAGGTGGGGTCTGAACAGAGCAGAGTAGATGGAGAGAATCTCATCTCTTGACCTGCTGGCCACGCTGCTTTTGATGCAGCCCAGGATGCAGTTGGCTTTCTGGGCTGCAAGCACACATTGCTGGTCAGGTCAAGCTGCTTGTCCAGCAACACCCTAAAGCCCTTCTCTGAGCTACTCTCAATTCATTCTCCATCCCACCTGTACTTGTGCTTGGGATTGCCCAGACCCATGTGCAGGACCTTGCACGTGGCCTTGTTTGAACTTCATGAGGTTTGCACAGGCCCACCTCTCCAGTTTCACTTATGGCTTCCTGCATGGGCAGGGACGTGCTGGTGTTGGGGTGAGAGATGGCACGTCAGATTGAGTCACTCTGAGAAATTGGATATATTAGCTTAGGGTAGCCTACCCGGCTAATAGAATATGAGCTACCTTGCATCAGAATTTATGCAATAGTAGTAAGTCTAGAGTACAATTCTGTAAATTCATGGCATTTAAGATAACATACTGAGATTTAAAAAAGGAAATCTGTACAAGGAAGTATATTTTAGACCCTATATTAGCCATCTGTCACTTCCTATTTTATTAGGTTCTCATAGACTTCATAGAGCCTTTGTCTCTCTTACTTATCTTGAGCATTTTCTTTAAAACAATTTTCTGTTTCCTCATATTACTTCAAAGTAATCATATCATTTAAATTTTCCTTTAAAAAGACTATAAAACATTTTATAACTACCTTGTAACCTATGCAATGCTCATTTCAGCTGAACTGCAGATATATTTGGGCTTTTTTTGTTATCCACATATAGGTACAATGCATGTCACTTTTGACTGTTGTAGTTAAATAGAAGACATTTTAAAAATCAGCAACCATACATCATAATAAAGTGTTGAAAAATAGCGTTTATGCTTGAAGTGCAAGGAAAAATTAGCCAGAATGTAGTTATCTACGTTGGATTATGGCCAGGACAATAGTGGCAATATCCTTATTCCTTAAAAGAATGTACCATGCGGTCTTTATGACAAGTGGTCATTATTTCTTAGCTTGATCTTTCATTTGAAGAGTTGCAGTTCTCTAGCATCATGCTGAGCTACTGCTGTAATAAAATAATAATGGTTAGAAACTCCATTTAAGAATGCCACTTCAACGTTGCTGCATAAATCCTATGTGAAGACAGTCCCTGGGCCAAGGAAATTAAAGTCAAAATGTTAGACATGTTAACTTCTCTTTTGTTTTTGTTACAGGTGTTTAAATATTTGTATATGTAATGTGTGTGCTTTGCTTCGTATTTTGAAACCCGTATGTAGTTCTGCTTACATTGCACATAATCTGAACTGCATGCAAATGAGACACACTTCTCAATTCCAACTGTGAGGACATAGCCTCGTGTTGCCCTTTCTCTCAGAAAAAAGAGCACAACTTTCTGGCTGACTGTAGGTATGAATCAGAAATATTTTTCAAGATACAGCACTGAATACAGCAATACTTCTGAAATCAGTTTGTATTTTTTTCAGGACATGAGGATATGTAGATTATTGGCAAATTACAATAAAGCAGTATTTTTAAATGACCCCATATCTGTGACAGTGGTTTGTATGAAAAAGTTTAATGCTTCATTCAAATCATGCTTAGAAATACTTAATTCTGGTTTTTATTTTATACAAAAGTAGACTTGGGGGATTACATTGTTTACGCATATTAGGAACACTAAAATATTTCTTTCGGGGCAACCATTAATTTATTGCTATAAGCAAGTGCTCTGTTGATTGGCGTTGTTCACAGAAGCCTACCATTGATTCTACGCTCATGTGAGAATTTCTTCTGAAAGTATGACATTTCAGTAGAATTAGTTTTGATCAGCAATGACCCAGTGTCTGACTGCAGCCTTGACCTGCTGAGTTCACAGGTTTGCAGATACTGGAATTCTGCAGAAATGGTGAATGGTGAACTCTGACCAGCGGTCTGCTAATTTGACAGTGAAAGAGGCGGTGATAGCTGCATGGTTGGCACAGCCCAAGTAATACAGATAGTGTGATACATGCAGGGAATGCAGAGCAGAGAGACGTCAGTGCCTGCTCACCATATGGCATGGGTCCTGAAGAATTTATTAGTGGCACCACATGGAAATAATTCACTCCGCTCAGCTGTTTGAACACCCCCATAGTTTTGGTCTGAGGTAGTGAAGTAGAAAGTCTGTCTGGGTCTCCACTTGGCCAGTCCAGGTTGCAAGTGTTACTGGTTGAAATTCTGCGCTGCCTGGGAGCAGCTTTGTTGCTTTTGCATCTAAGCCACTCCAGACCAGCAGATCCTGTTGGTACTGAGGCTTCTGTTAGCCTGTTGCTGTAGCCAGATGTATCTGCATCCATTGCGTGGTTAATATGCAGCCTGGGTGATGCTGTTACTCTACTTTGCAGCAGCAGCCTGTAGACCTGGTTTTCCTCACTGGAGGGGATTGCATTTCTGTACATGGGGAAGAGCTATTGCAAAGTAAATGTGTCATGAAGTTAAGTATTCTAATTTTGCCAGAATGTAAACTGCACAAAGTCAGCACAGGGAAGAAATAGAGCTGTCTTATGTAGTTCATCTTGCAATAAAATTAGAAGTTTGGGGTTTGTCATGCCTTTACTCACTATTTAAAGAGAGAAGATACATTTTCAGGTGACTAAAGGAGGACAGCTATGTCTGAATTCAGAAATCATTTTAAGAATAATTACTCTCTAAAAACCTGTCATTCAAGCTCCCAAGTTTTAAGAATTAAAAGAGGGACTAAGAAAGACAATAATAGGTTTCCTGGGGATTCCTGTCTACAAAAAGATAGAGGTCTGAAACTACAGTATACTGGTGTTATTTGAAAAAGGACTTGTTCCCTCCCTGGCTATTCCGTCTATTGCCACTGATAGAAAAAGAACTATTTCTTCAAACAGTGAATACATTTTGTTACATTTTGATCCTTCTTATTTTTGGAAATAATGCCTTCTTCTTTCTTTGAAAAAACAGTTAGCTAAAGAACAGCATATCCAATCTGAAAATTATTCAGTCTTCAATATCCTGAGTAATGGAGTTATTGAGTGCAGCAACTCTTTGGAAGATGATTGTGATACAGAGATTCCTGGACAGTCACTTATCTACCGCCCTGCTCGTCAGCATATTTATTCTGTCTTGTTGGAATCTGGAAAAGGTAAGAATTAAACTACCTACATCGTTATTCAAGTATATGTTCAATTTTGAAATATGAAATCTTGAATTCATTGCTTCAGTGGCTACATCAGCATTTAGGATAAACGGCATTTAGGATAAAAAGTGCATTTAGGAGAAAAACTCTGGGCAGCTGAAGTGTACTTCTTATGGAATCAAGAGAAAATGTGACTGAAATTGTGGGCTTTTTTCTACATGCTGTTCCATTTCACTGCTTTTAAAGTGATTTTAAAAAATTGGGGATTTTTTCCTTGTTAAATGGGAAGTTGTGAAAGTAGTTAATGATCAAAAGACTGAGCAAAACAATGATCTTTAGAAGATTTTTGAAGGTTTGAGAGTGTATGAAACCTTATGTTGCTTTGGTAAGCGTGGCTCCTGATGAATTAGTGAGTTGTAATACACTTTTGCAGAAACAATAATGCACTGTTAAAATTTTATGTTCTGTTGATTTTAAGTCTGCAATTTTAAGACCAGTCAAATATAGTTACTGTAATAATGCAAATGGAAGTAGTCATGCCAGCAATTATTAGTTCTTTCATCCAAGTGCAAGAAAATATGATTTCTTTATCCAGCGGTATAAACAGATTTTGTAGCAGGTACATATATCCGTGCTTCTATTCATCTCCTCCAAGACAGAGAGTTCTTTATTCACATCCTTGGAAAATTTCATGTTCTTAAGACTTCCATTAGTTAAATGTTATCTTTACAGTGTCTTTCAGGCAGTGAGTTGAAAATAAAATGTGTACTGAACTTTTGTTCTTTTGAATCTGTTGATTTCTCCACAGTAATCACTTTACATTTTATTGATGAAAGTGCACCGCCACCAAACCTAATATTCAAAATATTTGCTTAGAAAGGCACAGAAAGGTAATTAAGTACATGACTTCCTTCAGCAGCCAGAGGTTGAAGTTGTGCCATAATAGGAAAAAAAAATAGGAAAAACTGAATCAGAGTTTGCATAGTCATTTGGAGACAGTAACAAAAATCTCAGCAGTAATCATGCATATCTGTCATTTTTCATTTTTCGGCCTGCTGCCTCTACATTTTGTAGACAATTATAACTTGATTGAGTTTTGTTTATTCCTCTAAGCAGCAGGATATTCACTGATGTTTTCAGAAACACCCAGACCAAAATTTCTAATTAACAATTTTTTGCTGTGAGATGTCAGGGTAATAGGCAGATCTACATTTGTGTTACAGTGGGTTTAGAACTCCAAGATTAGAATTGAAATACAGAAACATTAATTTAGAATCATACTGAAAATTAAATTTTAATGTGAAAGATGTCTTCTTTTAAGAAAGTGATATTAGAATAAAACCACATGTAACATGTATTATTTATTCTTAGTTCAGGCTTCAAATATATTTGATTTTTGAGATAATTTTCTAAAATAAATAATAGTGTCCCCTCAATCCTTAACCCTTCCAGAAAGGTAGGTAGAGTTTGTCTGCATAACACCTCTATTAAATCTGCATTTTTAGTGTGTTTATTTATCTCTAATTGCTTTAACCATGTCACTTCCTAGTAGTTCATGGATTGTTTTTGTATTCCAGTGTATAGTTGCTTCTAAGTCAAGAGTGTAGATCATTAGTCAGAGTCTAATTGGAATTCATAAGTAAGTGTAAGCGTTATTTTTTTATGGATTCACTGCTAAACCTGCAAGGAAGTTTTGTTCTATACCAAGTAAGTAGAATCCTTTGCCAGTTTCCCTCAGATGAGGTCAAGTTGACTGTTTTTTTGTAGTTTCCTAAGAGGTTGGATGGGAAGAAGTACTGTCTGTGAGTTGTAGTATAATGTAGAATCACTTTGGATTAGCATTAAAAAGGAGTTTACTGGAACAATACAACCAATTAGATTAGTCCATGTGGAGTCTGCTGCCATAATGATACAGCTGCTGATGTAGCAAATTTGAAGCTGACTTGGCTAACTCTACACAATGTTCCAGTTTGCAGTGGTGATGTATGTGTTAGTGATCCTTTTTTTTATTCCTTAATATCTGTCAATTACCCTGGGTTGGAAACTGACCTCCTTGCAGTTTGCAAATCTGCTTATTTACTGTTAACTGGCAAAGCAGTCAACATTTAGTAAAAACAGTGGTTACAGTTTTAGTAAAAACAGGTTAAATATAATGTAAACTGTTTCCTCTACTCTGAAATAAGATACTGTTAGTTTTGAACATCTAGGGTGAGATTTCCAAGGGTGCCTAAGAGACCCACTAATCCATAGGAGCAGGATGTCCTTTGAAACCTTTGATATCCTTTGATATCCTTTGAAACCATTTGCCTATACCATGCCACTTTGCCTGAAGCCATAGTGGAATAAGTGTTTCTTTTGCTGCCGGTGTAAGTAATTCTCTTGCATAGCCACTCATTTCAGTCTCTATGCATCCTCTCAGTTGTGCTGGTGCAGCTGTTGGTGCAGCTGTGTCGTGGCCTAGTTTGAGAAACTGAAAATAGCCTCTCTCTCTCTCTCTCTCTCTCTCTCTCCCCTCCCTTTCTTGCAGTCAGGTAACTAACCTGGTTTTGTTTCCCCATCTGACTCTGTGTAGCCACATATAGCTGTGGTGAAACATCCCAAGGGAATGGCAGAGTGTTGGAGTGAGCAAATCAGTGGCCTCCTGTAAAAGTTAACAGTGCTGCTGAAAGAATTGCTCAAGGCTTTGGTATAGTTTGACGTACGGTAAGCATGTATGTATCTCTACTCATGGAAATGTTGCAGAATCACAGCCTTAATTTTGACCCTCCAAAAATAAATAGGGGGCTGATGGTGATTCTGATAACATGCCACTTGTTGCCTATTTTAAAAGTACATTTATGATTAATTGAGCTATTTCTGATTATTACCTGAAATATTCCATATAATGATATAAATTGTCAACTTTTTAACATCCTTCCTATAAAAAGTACTTTTGGAAAAATTCAAGTAGGAGGGCAAAATAACAATAAATAATGCATCTTGATAGGCCAGCCAACCTCTTTCTTGTGTGTGCAAAGAGTTCAAAATAAAGCCAGCAGGTTTTGGCACTAACACAGTCTATGGAAATATCTGCACCTGCATGACCGTTGCCAATTAGGACATTATGTAATGTAGCCTAAGCCCGTGGCCAGCTCCTGGAAGTCCTGGCATCACTCCCAGTTCTAACATTAGCAGGCTAGACTGATTCTCACTTTGACACAGTCAAAAACATTTCACTAGCAGAATTTTTGCCGGTTATCACCAGTGACCACTCAGGAGGGCTGGCATTATTGCAGGTGTAGAGGAACACATGTAACAGCATTTTCCAGCTATCTTGTCTTTTGCACATAGTTGAAACTTTCCTTAGGCTGCCTAAGCATTGCTTCCACAGGTTATTCAGAATCTATTTAAACAAAGGAACGTTATTTCTTAAATTTCACTGGTGATACTCTTTATGTGTGCTGGGTGAAAGGGTTAGGGATTTTTTTCCAGAGATATTTCCATGCAGAGAGGGTTGACATTTCACTAGTATTTAGAATTAAGACACATTTTGATAAGTTTTTCTGTGAACTGTAGAACTCACAAAGAGTGATACTCACTGCCAGTTTCCCCTCAGCAAAGCTTTTCTATTTCCTTGCTTCTTCCCAGCATCTTAATTTCTCCTCATGTCCTTGACAACTCCCTTGTGCAATATATGGTGTTCCGAAGCATGTTCTCTATTGCTCCCTGCTATTCCCAAATCCTATCTACCTTTTTTTCTCCGCTCTAGCTTTTTTACAGCTACTTGTGTATTGATTTACCCTCTAGTCTGTTTGGATAAAACAGGTAAGTTGACTTTCCTGCCTCTCTTTTGGTTGGTGCCCTAATAGGATCCCTCTGTCATCTGAGTCACCAGCTTCACAAAATATTTAGGACTTTAATCCATTTGGAATCACTTCTGCTTTGTCAGATTTAGTTGAAACAGAGCAGTGCATTGATGAATTAATTATAAGACAGCAGTCCTAATTTTATTAGGTTTGCTTCCTTGAGAAACTAGGCTAAAATTTAGGAGGCTGAATGAGCTGAATAAATACGTACTAAATCTTAAAACAATACTAAAACATCAGAATGTTTCTGAAAGTGACTTTGGGATATTAAATTGGAGGGGTTTGTGCATGAAATAGCATTATCACAGACAATGATTTATAATCAAAATGTGAGACTATTCAGCTACTGGAATGTACAGTTTAAGGCTTTTTTTTTTCCCCCAGAGTAGGCATTTTTAATTTTATACTCAATGTCATCAGTTTTTTAACAGTGAGGCATGGCAAGCCAGGTGTAATACTGTCCCCCATAGTCCATCTGTTGGTTCTTCAGTCCCTCCTCACCTTTATTGGGAGTTTGTGCTGCAGGTCCGTGGGTAAGGAGGGAAGGAAGAAGAAGCAGGGGTTGTAAAACAGATTTTGTCATGTTCTTTTCCCTGTTTCTTATCCCTGACACTAGAATTCCATCTGAGGAATTTCTGCCTTTGCACTACAGCACACTACTCATTCATTCCTGCCAACAGTCATCTCCAACACTGAGCTATAAACAAGATCAGGAAATTCACGTGACAGAACTTTTTTTGGGGTGGAGAATGGAAGATCAGTCTTGGAGAGATTTGTTTGGTTTGTTTTAATTTGGTGAAGTTTTTGATTAAGGTTCACAACATGGCATCAGAAATACTTGTGCAGTAAATTGCATGGAGATTGGAATTGATGATAAAAAGCAGGAATTTTTAAGAACAGTGGCTTCAGCACAGGATGAGAGCTGAAAGGAATTAGAGATGCAATTCTGTGAACCTCAAAAGGACAAGGGAAGGAAAAGAAGAAAAGATTTGAAACACTACTCCAAGTGCCCAGGACCAGCTAAACCTGTTTAAGTTATACTGTTTACCAGACTGTAGAGAGTAGAAATTTAGGGCACTATGACATGGTTACCATAAGCAAAATCTGGACAGAATACAGAAGCACCATTTATAAAAGCAATGATTCTGGGTTTGTTTGTTGGGTTTTTTTATGGAGACCTGCAGTGGAATGATTTTGAGCTGACCATTGTAAATTGGATAGACTGCATTTCAAAAATGGTTAAATTTTTGATTTTTATCTGAGGGTATTTTTTTGGTTTGTAGTTTTTTTTCCCAAGCATCAAGTAGTTAGATGCACAACTCAAGTACTGACATTTTTAGTTTAAGATACACCCTACTCTTTAGTGGGGGGCAGGGCAGAGTTGAGGTTAGGGACTAGGAAGCCACTTGAGCTATTACGCATAAACAATCCCTTTATACTAGATAAAAGGTCTGGAACAATGGGCTGTAAAAGCTCTACATCTTATGTGGGATGGCTCCATCTTTTCAGCTTTCAAATAGCCATCAAGGTCTACTTATAAAGATTTTGGCTCAAACCCTAACACAGGAGATGTCAGGGGAAGTTGGGAGGTGAATCGTATTAAGCACTGCCTGCATATGTGGCAGTGTGACAGTCCTGAGACTGAGGTAGCTCATGTAGGTCCCTAAGCTATGCCAGATGCCTCCAAAGCTTCCTGAACTGCCCCATAATGGGAAGACCTAAAGCTGTTTTCAAATGCTTTCTACAGACTCTTGTAGTTATATTTTTGGCTGCAGTTCCCAACTCCGAACTCATGTTTATAGTACATGATTGAAACTCTCTTCATTTGCTCTGATTTGTCATAAAGTTGCTAAAACTTTTTTCTTGGTCACAGCTGCTTACTAGTGTCAATACTTGTATTTGACTTATTAATCCAATTCTGTCTTTTTTAGGTGGAGCCTATCCTTTGGTAAAAGAGTGGTTTGTCTATTTTGGGAATCCTCTCAAGCAGCCGGAGCTAATACAACCTGTACAACCTTCTGTTCCAGGTAGAATAAAAATGTGTTTAAGTCTAAACTGAAAGAATGACCTCACTAAAATGAAGTTAGACAATCCATCATCATCCTTTTGATATAGAATCCAGAATGACCGTGGAGAACAAGGAGCTAAAGTACTGCATGCCTGTAATTGCTTTTTGTAATTATAATAGGATTCAGCTTTGAGATACATGTTATTGCTGTGTCTTGTTAAACCCAGTGCTAATTTGAACATCAGTTCTAAACTTAAAACAGTTTCTTAGAGGTTTTAGATACTGCTCTAAGGCCAGGATAGGTGGTATGTAGGACCATATTAAAATTTGTGCATTAACCTATTTGACAGAATGTGTTAATGAGACTGATGGAGACTGTAGAGAAGAGTAATTTTTAGATAACCTATGACAACTCAAAAAGAGATTCCAGCTTTCAGTAAAAAAAATAGTTAGCTTATCTGTTTCTGTGAAGCTGTTTCTATTGTCTTAAGCCTCAAGTTTTGTGTGGTTTTGTCTTCTTCCCTTTGGTAAAAAACACATTAATGAACACTCTTACTGAAATTAGAGTGATGAGAAATATATTTATGAGAAACTATAATACACTTAAGTGAAAAGATTGGGCACTGTCTATGTCACTAAATGGTATCATGCAATACAAGTTTAGGATTGGAAGTAAACAGTACTGTAACAATTTTGATATTTCAGAGGGAAAATTGTTGTGATTGTTCATTTGTCCATGCTATTGTAGTCACCTTTACTGTCACATCTCTCTCTCTCTCTGTCTAGTCATCTGCTATCACATGGATCAGCAGCACAAAAGTTTTTTTAGTCTCTTGTATGATGTGAATTTGTTCCATTGATTTACAATAACATTGATGTCTTCTTAAGAAGAGTTATCTATTCAACTTTTTGAGAATAATCACCAGCGCTTCTTCCCTCAGCACCAGAGCTTTCTGTAGTAGTCCTTGTTCTGTCTGCTGTAAATCCAGATTCAGAAAAAGTTGAAATACATGCACTTTTTTATAAATTTATAATAAATTTTCTTTTAAGGTATCCTAACCCATATATTTAATGAGAGTCTTCACATTCAAGGATGAAAGAAAACCAGTTGCTCTTTAGATATCAGACTTTTCAAAATCTTTTTTAAAGGGCTGTTTGGAAAGAAATAATTTATATAGACAAAGTACAAACGAGTTTTTATTTGATATACAGTGGTTTCACTGTCCAGTACCCCATATACAAAATTAGGACAGTGATTATCTAATTGGCTTTGTGATAGCATGAAATTGCTGTGAAATTTTGCATATGGATAAGAATATGCAGGGTAAAAGCTGATGAGTCTGTCCTGTGCAACTGTTTTATTTCAGCATACAATGGTCTGGGGACATGCATTTGTAAAAGAAGGAAACAAAATTTGACAAAGTATAAACCACACCTACATTTCAAATTGCCTGGCAAATATACTGTATTTATTGTTGTGAAGTTTTCAATCCCAGATATTATACTTCCTTCCTCCCTTTCTGGAGAGGAATCCACTTAATCTCATGTACTCTGGTTCTACAGCTCTGCAAACATGCTATATAGAACCCATCTTTATGTTGACAGTAAACAGGATTTAAAATCACTGTGTTTGTTTGTTTATAGCAACCACATAAGTGGAGTTTATAAAAACAGAATCTTCTCAGCCATAATCTTTGCAAATTCAGTAATGAAAGGCAGTTCAAGCAGACTATTAAAAGAGGGGAGGAGGACTTTTAGTGTTTATTTTTAGTCCTCTGTTGTCATTCCTTCAGCGAACAAATATTTTTCTAAAATTTTTACAGTCCATATTTGTATGCCTTACATTCACTCATGCATCTTTGATTTTCCACAGCATGACTTTCTAATTCACCATATAAGGTCCTCAACAGCACATCACATTTTTCAGACAGGGATCATATTTAGAGCTAAATTTAAAGAAGTTGTTATAGGAAGTTAGAGTTCAAAGCTGTCAATCAAGATCAGGTTACGCGAAAAGAGAAGAAAAACTTTACCAAAAACCTATTAGAAAATTCACAAGTATACTTAACTTTGGAAGGTTCTTTGTTTTATCTCTTTTGAAAAAACTTATAACTTTATCATCAAAACTAGTTTAGAGCTGTATTGAGTATATATGGAAAATCCTGACTCTTTTGAATTTGATTTAGATTAAAAAGTCTGAAGAAGCTATTAACTTTGAACTGTAGTTACATAACAATAAATATTTTAAATTTTGCATTGATCTTTAAAAAAAAGGTAGAATTTCCACTAACTTTTTATATAAAACAGAAGAACTGCCTTGTATCAGGAAAAGTTGCAGGTGATAGATTGAATGTTAGCTCTTTGTTTTTAAATAAAATATCGAATCTTAAAGGCAGTATGGTAAGTAAGATGAGAACTTAAAATATATTTAAAATACCATATGTATTATATATATGTTGTTGGGTTTTTTGAGCGACAGTCTTCTGAATTAACATCTGTGCTTGCTTGCATTCTCTGTATCTCTTTCTTGCTTCTGGAATGTTTCTTTTCAGTTGAATGAATATGATCATTTTTTCCCACACATTGACAAAGTAGCACTTAAATTGATAAAAAGTGTCATCAAGAAATTAATTTTGTTAGAAGATCTGTGATCCAGGAAAATACTGTTTAACATCCATATCTTGTGAACATAGCAGATATGTTGGACATGTGTGCGATTTATATTGAACAGAAGAAATTCTAAAGTCTTTACTGGAAATATATAGATTCTGCTGTTCATTTAATTTCTGAAAATCTGTAGGATATTGTAGCTTCATACCAAAGAGTTCGGATGTACTTTCAGTATTTTAATCATTGCCTCTTACAGGAATATGACATGAATATGCGTAGGTTCAAAATGCTGTCTCTGGAATGCTTATTTAATGGTCAGATTTAATTGGCATTTGGGTTTATGGCATCTTTAAAATTGGCCACAGTTGTTGAGAAGTACATTTTTATAAGCTTATTTTTACTGCTTGGTATTTACGTGCGTGTGTAAAAAGGAAGAAGTGTTAAAGTTCTATTACTGATGTTATAAACTAAAATTTCAATAGTCAATATTTCAAATATACATGAACAGTTAATATTATACATTTATATCTGTATGCACAATGATGACTTGTTTAAAGTTGGTGTGAATGCAAGGATCATCTTTGTAAAAGCCTTGAGTTAAACGATCTCATATAATTAATGCATTCCACAACTTTTGCATGTATTGCATATTCATAAATCAATAATTGAAATTCAAACAAATGAAATAAGTAGTTACGTATTCCCTTGAAGTGCTTTTGTTTGTCATGCTGCTTTCTGTATGACAATTTCATTAAATGTATGAGTATACAGGAAAAATATAAAAAGTAATTCAGTTCATGCTTTTTCTTTTAACTTGTCGGTTGTGTGTGTTTGTGTGTGGGCAAGTAGTATCTCTTAACCTGCATGGAGGTCTTTGTGATGCTCCTCTTCTTGAAGTTCCTGAGGACTACAGTTTACATTGTAGTGAATATGGTTTTCACGCAGTTTTTTGTGTGTTGACAATAATTGTAAGCATATGCAGCATTTGAATAATTCATAGGAACTTGTGGTTCCTACAACCAGTAGGATAGATAATTTTCTCATTACTAATCTTTTCAGTAAAGATGTATCAATTGTATATATCTAAGTATATTTTGCTGTGTTTTCCTTTTGTTATTGGTTGTTTTTTAGGTTAATTTAGTAAATATCTAGACATGTTCTGTAAGTAAATTATTTCTCCTGCCTATCCAAGTAAATTTCTCTTTCAGGAATGTTTTCTAATTACTGTAAATTATGTAGTGAGGATGTAACCAGAGCAGAGAACAGTTTTGGGGGTCTACTGTATATGAATCCTAGAATCTGCTGTGGACTTTATGTATGATGGGAAAGTCATTAAACTTCAGGGTATTTCTTTCTTTGTTTTACTTATCTTTCATTTAAGAGTTAATAGATCAGTCTTAGGTACTACATGGTATTTTATTACTTGTAGAAGAGATCGTCTCAGAAAAATAGCACCTTTGGTTGGTGTGTTCCAAAAAGAGAGAGCATCAAATTTTCCTTTCCAGAGTAAATAACTCATAATTTATCCATACTTCTTTTTCCCAGGCACAAGTAGGTGTTTCTGAAAGTGTAAGGAATTGTTTATGGAAGAGATGTCTTGAATTTTTTGTTGAGTTCTCTCAATATAGAGATGTAATCTTGAATATTGACAGAGTTAATGGTTTTATTCTGAAGAAAGAAGGATTTCTATTATTAGATATAACCCCGGATTCAAAAAAGAACTTTGCTTTAACTGATTTCTGGTGTATCTCTTCGTATGCAGAAACCACGTACAAATTGTCTCGGACTTGATAGGAAAAGTTTAAAGTTTGTTCTGTTTTGGTTTCCTGCATGCTATATTTGCTTTAATTCCTGGAAGTCAGTCTCTGTGGTTCTTTTTTTTTTTTCTTAAGGCAGCAATTACCAATATCAAAACCACTAATTTGAGTCTTTTTGGTGCTGTCTATACTGGCCCACTCACTGCCGCTATTTGTGTTATCTCTAACCTGCATTTCTACCTACAATCAAGCAACTGGTCCTTTTCTTAATAAGGTTAGAGACTTATAGATTTTATGATTGTAGTTCTTTACATGGTTAAAACTTTTGACAGGAGAGTTAGTCTTAAAAGTAGTAAAAAAAACATCCATCAGGGAGATAAAGAAAGAAAGTACTAACTTCTCTTCTAGTTTCCCCCTCTCCAAAGAATTAGTACCATTTGGTTAATGGGCTTTCCTGGCTAAATAAACATTGTCTATGTAGATTTCAGCACCTTGTCACTTTAACCATTTATTATCACCAAGTGTTCTTAACTGGTCTGCAGCTGCTGCAGAAGGAGAAGGTGTTACCAAATGTTGCTTAATTAGTCCACATTTAAAATTCACACCTTGTGTTATTTAAATACAGAAGCAGCAGTACTTTATGGTACAATTCTGTCTTTTATTGAGATTCTCAAGCATAACCAGTTAGCTGTTCTGTTATTTCACGTGCATTAGTGTTTATTTTGATAACAGATTAAATGTAATTTAAATGAGGAGCAAATTTTGTATTCATTCACATGTCACAAGCTGGGAGATGGCAACATGAAGTAAATATTAAGGATTTAGAAACAAGCATGAATGATAGTATAGAAATTCTTGAAAGATACATTTTTCATAACTGATGACCGTTCTTTTGTGTGTGTTTGCAGCAGTATTTCATACAGTAACCTATGGAGTGCAAACTACCAGATCACCTTGTTTTTTGTTCCCAACCTGGAACCTACTGCAGAGGAGTCATACCAACACAGTGTTTTATGGAGAATACATGTTTGCCAGCAAGTGGCATAGGTGATCAGTTTGTTCTTTAAAACAGGTGATTATAAGGGAGACAATGTAAGGATCCTTCAGGGATACACCAGTTCTAGGAGAGACAGAAGAAAAAGATCTAGTTGTTTTCTGCTGAATCGCTATTTATGATGAAGTGAACTTCATTTAATGCTCTGGATCCCCAAGGGAAAGAACAGACTTGCAGGCAAACTTTGGTTTTGCATAGGTTAAGTGCCTGCTGTCTCAAAGTTTCTATGTTGTTCTAACAATTTAATTCAGTCCATTCTGCTTAAACATGCCTGTATTCAATAAATTTTGTTTAAATTACAGGCCGTATTTTTATGTTTTTTTTTTTCCAATGCAAGTTTTGTCAAATACATTTTATTTTCAGCTCTGTGATCCTTGCAAGTACCAAGAGCAGATCAGTTGTTTCCTTTCAGATTGTAATGAGGTAGACGTGTTTTATCTTGTTGCTGCCAAAATAATATAATGGATTTCCTTTGTAGGTGGAACACCTGATTTGAAAACACTGTGGCTTGCCAAAGGACCTGATGTGGAAAAGCAACGGTATAGTACGTTTCTGGCATGCTTTCACCTTCAGGATGAGATGGAAGAACTCCAAGCTCTAGAAGCACCTGTTGCAGGATTCTGTTGCTTGCTGACCTATCTTATGATGCAGGTAACTGGGACAGTTGCTTTTTCTTCCACTGTCAGCGGATAGATGTGACTGACTAATAAACTATTTCTTGCTAGCCTGTGCTAGATTTTTGCCCTAATCTTTACTGTAGGCATAGTTGATCAAATATAACAGTACTGCATTACAGTATTTTTAATTACTCTGCTTAACATGCACCATCCTGCTCAAGAAATATTTGGGTTTTTTTGGTAGTTAATCATAACTCTCACATGCCCATGACAAAACCCCTTGGGCAGTTTAACAGAGAGAGTATAAACTGAGGGATTTCCCCTGTTTTTTGGGACCTATTTGCAAACTAAAGCTGCTCCTTTTGTGTCATCAAAAGAAGACATTCCCTCAGGTGACTATGCAGGCTATGCAAACAGCAGTATAAATATTTAGTTAGCTCTCGCTGCTTTTTCACACCATCTTGTCAATCTGCTCATTTTCAAGCTAGAATTGAGAATATGGCTCTTCTCATTAAATTCTGAGTAATAGAGGATCATTAGGTAGCAGTTCTGTTATAATTCCAAATATTTGGCAGCCTGAAGACTACCTTAATTGTAATAAAAAGGGACACAAGATTAAATACCATATTGCTTCATTGTTTACTTTTCTCTTAGGTATTTAATATATTGTCTGTACTTGCCTCATTTCAAATGCTGATCTCACAAGCAGATTTTCCTCTCTGAGGATGAGAAAATTATAATGCTTTTATCTAATCTGATAAACTCTGCTTCACTTGTGCCTAGACTGAACTGCATTTTGTCTGTTGTTCTGCTTTCTCAGACTTCACTTTCCTCAATAGCAGATTTATACTGGCATGTGATACATGAAAACAAGTTCTCCCTTACTTTTCCTTTCTTTTTGTGTTTACTCAAATTTAAATGATGCATTGAGGAAATACATGTGGGAATTATCCAAGTGATTCATATAGCTCTTTTTTTTTCTTCTTTAATTTTTGTGTCACAGAATATAAATTGAAGGTTTTTTGAAGATGAAACTCATTAAACATCATTTCATGCCTTGCAGTTTAAATTCAGCCAGATACATATCATGTACCAAGCTTTTAACATACTTGAAGTGTTCTTCATATTTGGATATGAAATTGCAGTTTCATTTATTTATCTGTTATCACTGTTTCATTTATTTATTGTGCTATCCTGCACAATCTTTCATAGCATGATAACTAAAGTGTTTGAGAAGGGTTTCTTTAGTGGGATTACAAAGAGGAGTAACGGGAGGGAACACTTACAGAAATGTGGATTTACTGACCCTTGATCACAGCATATTAGTAAAATAAAAAAAATACTTGTCAGGGAAATGGTTTTCAGAACTCATTATCCAATGGCTTCTGTTAGAAACAGAGATGAAAGCAGTTTCACAGTTCTTCTTTTCAACAGCATTAATAGCAGAGAGATCATGGAAAGGGCTTAGTTTGATGGAAGGTTTTTCATGGTGGTACCAGTTTCTCAACATCTGTCCTGTTTTTCTGATTCTCTTCTGGTCTCTGAGTTGCCGTGATACAATCTACCCTATGAATGAGACTACGGAATCAATTTGGATTTAAACATTTTTCATTGCTGAGTTTTTTTAAATGTTGCTTATTTCTCTAGTATTGTCCATTTGTTCTCCTGGGGTGTTGGAGAGGAAAACTTGAGAGCAAGAGTGTCAGCAGCCATGCTTTGAGCTGTCCATATTGCTTCCATTTGTTTTATAGCTGAGAAAACAATGCTTGTCTAACTGTGATCTAATTCTTGTCTTTACACTTTAGTCTTAAATTTCTATTAGAGAAGGAAGGTGGATTGTTTTCTCAAAAATTATTTAAGTTGACCAATTGTAGGTTGCCTTGAAGCAGGCTTCGAGCTTTCCTTCAACTCATGTGAGGGAGAATAAACTTCTTAAAAATTCCATTCCTCATTATTCAATCTAACCTAAAAATTAGGTTTTTATGGGAACCATCATATTGGCCAACCCATCTGGCTTCCTTGAAACTTATGTGCAAATATTTAATGAAAACTTCATTTTTTTTTAAGTAAGAAAAAATATAATAAACAAACCTTAAATATGTAAAGAAAGTGTTGATTTGAAAAATATTTTTTTCAGTGAGGGTACTTTTCAAATATCCTCCAAATTAAGAACAAAAATTTACGAAATAACAGATCTGTCTTTAAAGTTGGGAAAGGAGTGAATGAGTTCAAATATCAAAATGTGAATTCTGCAAAGAAAGGAGAAATATCTCTTTCAGTCTCTTATGGTTTTGAAATAAATCTGACAGTGGAATTGTGGTAACTCTCCAAGTTTGGTTACTGAATAAAATATTTCTCTAAAGGAGTGTTTTTACATTCGTAAGCATTTTGGCTCCTCTGCTCTGTTAGGGGCATTTTCTTGCTGTTGTACTTGCAAGCAATATTTGATTTCCTTTTCTTAGCACAAAATTGTGCAAGTATTGAGAATTATTGTGTAGGTGGAAGTCACTTTTCTGTTACTTCAATATATAAAATGTGCAGGTTCAGTAAAACTCTTGTTGCTGTCTACACAAAGGTGACACCTGACTTGAATTACAGGGTAAAGTTGGGCCATTATCAGATCTTAGCAGACAGGTGGAGTTAATGAATACCAAGGAGCATTTTGAAAGCTTAAAATTTTTCTAATATCCCTCCCATTCTTGTGCTTTATGCGAGATTTAGCAGCATCATAAAGGGGAAAGTATTTTACAGTGCAACAAACGCAAGGCCTGACTTTAAAAAATTTTTTTAAATTCTCAGTAGTAGTTAGATAATTTTTATCCTGAGGAGGAAAGAATGAGTTACTCCTCCTAAGCAAATGACATAATTATAGATGGCTTCTTAATGTTTGGGGTTTTTTCCTGTTGATTTACATTAATACTTTTTTGTTAATTTTTCTCTCCTTCATTTTATCTGTCACTAAATAGAAGCTCTTAATGGATTGAAATAGAATGTACAAAACATTCCCCCAAAATTAAGCTGTTTAAAGAAAGGCAAGGCAGAGTTTTAGGCAGCCTTTTAACTTTTCTGTAAGCCCACAATGCACATTTCCACATTTTGCAAGAGAAACCTTTCCTCAAGTTCCAATTGATAAGGAATTGTAATGTTTTATGGATCTTGCTTTAAAGCCCTTTTTATAGCCTCAACAGCTGTAACAGATATGTGGTCTTGGTGTGCATAATGTTCTTATAACAGGAAGGAAAGGATCAGAACTGAACTGGTATTGTCATAGGATCATCCCAGCTGGTCTCAAGGCACTGTCTTTCTCCTGAGGTGACCCTGTGCCTCTACAGAATGTCAGAACACCTTTTCACAGCAGAAAAAGCCCCCATTCCCCCTTCACTCATAGAAGTATTAGAGTGAACTGTTACATGAATTTAGAATTTTTCTTTATGTTACCCCACTTGAACATTTTAGATTTAGTTTTCTCATAGTTTTGAGTTTTCCCCACTTCGATTTGTAGCCTAAAAATCCTGAAATTCAGGTAAAAGTACGCAATTAAATATTTTAGATTATTTTTAAAGTTTGCAACAGATAACTGTGTAAGCATTTGAAAAAAAACCCAGTGGTCATCACATCTGTGGCTCAGTGAAGAGGGTTTTATCCTGGAAGTTAATTATAAAGCAATTTTTTTTAATCTCATTTTTTTACTATGCTTGGTGTTACAGAGATTAAGTTATTTCCTGTTAGTAAGAAACTTCAAGGGAAGCGGAAAAGGGAATAAAGAGGGGTGGGCTTTTTTTTTTTTGGTGTGTGGAAATCCATGTATATACACTATACACGAGTATTGGGATATGCATTTCTTTCAAGTTGTGAAAGAAAGTATTTTGTTCCCTGAAAGCGTGTTTTCCTAGACAATGCATTCGTGATGGTCATAATTCCATGAGGTCATTGATCTAAGTTTGATGTGCTTGAGCAAGAGGAGTCAATTTTCAGGAGAGTTTCTCTTCAGAGCCTTCAGATAATGTGTTATTTTTTCACCTGTTTTTAGGTCAGTAGCCTCTCTCTGGAAGACTTAAATGCATTTGTGGCACTCATTCTCTGCCTCAAAGGGAAGTCAGCTGCTCAACTGGCAGGTCTGCAGGTATGGACCAGAATAATTTGTTGCATAAAATGGTCATGAAAAATATTTTGGGGGAAAATTGTTCTACATTAATTTTTTGCAGATATGGGAACTAAGGATCATGGTAAATACATAGGCTTTTAATGTGCTGCATTTCATGTGAATACTTACATTTGTTAATCACGCAAAAAATTAAAATGGAAAGGACATTTTCTGGTGGTTGTGAAGTAACGTGAGCAAAGTAGTCTTAGATTTCTTCCTTACTTGGCTTCCAGACTTCGATCTGATTAAAAATTTTGTAGCGGTGAATCCTGTCTTACAACATTGCTACATTATTTTTTACTAAAGGAGGATTGTGTTTTGGGACATAGGTTGTATAAAAATCACTACATTAAATCAAATTTAAGTATACTTGAGGGAGAATATAAACATATTATAAACCTAACTAGAAAAATTGTTATGTGACCCACTGTAGTGAAAACTATTTGGATTACACTATTCTATAATTAGTCACGAGTTCTTTTAAATATTTTATATACGCCGTGCAAATCTGGCTTTTTCCTTTCCTATCTTCTTCAATCCACACGTGGAAAGGCAGGTTGCTAGACGATTATTGCAGTAGAACCATTTAAATTTATCTTCTTGCGTATGGCATTATACAAGAGTATTTTCAATGTCACCACTTCAAGCTGTATTCAAAGTATTAGTAGTGTAGAGCATAGACTGTACGTGTCAATGGCCATTTGAGTTGTGGGTTTAGGTAGAAGTAGGTGGGAAAGGATTAGAAATGGTTAGAACCTTAACATATCTTCACTCTGTAAATCTCGCTTATATTTTCAATAAATTCTCTATTGCTTTGAACCGTCCATGTGAGAATTTTAAAAGTACTTTTTGCTGATAGCAAGGTAAACCAACCACTGCTGTTACCATCCATTTGTTTCTAGTGCACAGGGACCAAATTAACAAAACCAGTGTGCTTCCAGTTTCATTATTTGATTCACTATAACAGATAAAGTCCAGTCTCCTATCATTTTTTTTAAAAATTCATCACAAATTTGTTCTGCAGCTGATCAAGTGTAAGATCTGTGTAACAAAAAGGAAGCTATGAAATGAAGACAATATGGAAAACAGCAAAAATGTAGGACTTATTTCTGTCAAAGACATTATTGCACATAGTGTTGCACTCAACATTGGGAGTATCATTACTTTATCAAATCTGTGTGGCAGTCATTCAGCAAAAGCATAAAGGAAACCAAGCTTAAGTGTTGAAACAATTTGTTTATAGGTGCACTTATATCTTACAATGTCTACTACATATATACATTAAGATACACTTAGGTATTACTACGGAAGTGTCTGAAGTGTTTGAAAGTTTATTCTGTTTGAATTAGAGGTCTTTGTGTGCTTCATTCGTGTTGTGATTCTACGAAAATAGAAATCTGAGTGTTACAAACATGTAATATTAATCAATGTATGCTACTTATCAGCATTGTAGTAATTCAGAGTTGTTCACAAAATTGTATTATTTTCCCACAAGCTTATGGCAGAGAGTTATGAGCATAAAAGTGCATTAAATGTGAATGTGGTCTTACACTGTCTCATGAAGTGGACAACATGTTGTTGGAATTTACTTCTGTGTGCTATTGGCAGGTCCTTTCCAAAGTTCTGTCTCTCTGCTGCGTAAGAAAGCACTTCATGCACTGTCACATAATGCTTTCTGCTGTGCTAAAAAACGACAAAAGATTCTATAATGCAGTTGAAAATTTTGTATCAAGCTATTTTGTAGAGCACTTCCTTGTCTTATTCTATTAAAATTCACAGTAGTGTCTTTGGTAATAGTTTGAGTCAGAATAAATCCCTCTAAAGGGAATAGTGAGGAAAGATTTTGGTCTCTTTCCCTTCTGAGTTTGTGAATAGATTAATAACAGTTTCAAACCTTTCCCCCGTTTGCCTTCAAATTAACCTCCCTTCCTGTGTTTTAATGACGTGGATTTCCTGGTGGTAAACAGTTGCTCTTTTTCAGTTTCTTGTATAGCTGTGTCTTGTCAAGCTATATCAAGAAAAGATGTTATGTTGTATTAATAGCCATAAAAATACTTTTTTTCTTCATATATAAGCCGCCTGTAATTTTGTGAAAGCACCAGGATCAGTTTCAAGATTTATACGATGTTACTCTCACTTCACAGGAAGAGTAAAAAGTGGTCTGTTTCCTGTTTCTGTGCTTCTGAAATGTGGTGTGTGGATGAATTTAATTATGTCCTGGGAATTTTCTTTTGAAAGAGCAGTACACTAAATAAATAGAGTACCTTATGTAAGTCCTCTAAGAATAATGATCAAAAAAGCAAGCTTTCTGAGTATTATCATTCAAGAATCTAATTTTCAAGATTCCACCTCAGAACAGCTTAAGCTGGTTTTGCTCATTACTATGTTTATCTGGTCATTTTACAAATTTGAGATAGAGTATTATTTTATATATAATAGTTAGTAAATAGGTTATCAGTAGGTATTTAACAGCTTAATGTTTGTGTTTAAAATCAAATGATCCAAGTGCAGTGAATTACACTAGTACATAACTAATTAATAAGTGGGGTTTATAGTAGGAAATCAGGAATAGAGTTTAGTCTGTTTACCATACTTTTTATTCTCCACTGAAAGGTTAAAAGTTATCCTTAGAAAGACTTACTAACAGAGCTTTGAAGGAAATTATGTTAAACTTAGTCAACATCTGCAAAATTTTATGAAGTTGTTTGCTCATTTGCCATTTTGGACTCAACACTATAGTATTATTTTAAATGTAGAAAAAATGTTTACTACTTGTAAACAATTCTGTGAAATACACTAATTTAATAAAAAAAAATCTGTTTCTGTAAAGGACTCCATTAGCAAGTATGTTGTAGTAGAACACTGAACTTCCACTGTGAAATATGAGAGAAAATATAGAGCCTGTTCTTCTGATAGAATGAAGAGAGCCTTTCATCATTGACTTTCAAATCTGCTTTCTAATATGCTGTCCATATTTCATAGTTAACGAGATCCATAAACTCACAAATCTCTGAAACAGAAATGTCTATGGTTTGAATAAAGTGGGTTAAAGCCATAAAAAATATAGTTTATCTCATGCTGAAAGAAAGTGGGCTGTGGACATGTAACTACATTGTGCATTAAAGATTACTTTCTGAGAATAACATAATGTTTATACATGAAGATTTGATTATTTTTCAAGATCGATGGTCTCATAATACCAAAATGTGCACATGATAGAGAAGACATTTTTCTGGTAAGTTTTTTTCTAGTTTTCTTGTGCTGCCCCCCCTTATATGGTAGATTAGCATTCTGCTTTGCCCAAGCCTCCCGTAGAGCTGATACATAAGGTCAGAATTAAATTTTGGACCCCAGGTTGTCTATTTCTCTTCTTTCTATTTTAATCTGGTGTGTGGTGTTGGCAAAAAGCCCAGAGAGCCATCAGGCTAACTTTGAGGCCATTGCAGAGAAAAAAAAGCACCAGCAGTCATGCTTTCAGTCTTGATTCTTATATTGAGCTGGCCACTGGTTGTTCAGTGTTTGTCAAGCACTGAAGTATATTCCTTCATTTTTTAAAGTACTTTCAATTATTTAAAAGTATTACTGATATGAAATGAGCACAGTCATTTTAGATCTTAAATTATAAGCTCCAGAGAGTCTTTGCAATTTGATTGCAAATGAATTTTCACAAAATATGTATTAAGTATTATTTAATTAGCTTTTGAAATAATAATAATAATAATAATAATAAATACTCAGCAAACTAGTTAACTAGCTTGACAGGTGGAAATAGCTTTAGCAGGAATTGTAGTTGTGCAGAACCTTTGAGTATTTTCCATTGTACACTGTCATGGAAGCAGAACTACCTTAGTAATAGTATTATACCAATATTGCACAAGATATTTTTCTCCAACTATTTTCCTGAGGAATACTCAGTCACATCCATGCAAAATAGCAGTATGTTTTAGAGTAATAGGTAGTAGTGTAGGTAACCTGGTTAACAGTGTGTAAGTATCTTGGTTAGGGTCCCTCAAATTTAAAGAAGGGCATTGCTAGACCTATTCTGTATTTTTAAACTCCATATTCATTCTTCTATGCCATGCAGACAGAAAAACATAAATAATGCCTGGATTCTGAACATTCAAGAATTTTTTACCTGTTTGGCAAGCCAAGCTACCTTTGTCAACACCATGTGATATTTTTCAAACAGACTCCAAATAGCCTTTGTGACCCATCTATATTTTTCAAAATATATTTGTTTAAAAAAATTCTTTCTTCCCCAGAGAGTGTATGTTTATTGTGCCCCTGCGACTGTTTCCTAATAAATATTTGCTTTAAGTCTAATTGGGTTGAATGAAACATGAAATGCAAGTAAGAATATTGTAAAGATTTCACAGATAACCCCCTCTTACATACAAAGGACACGCTTCTGTGATGTACGTTAGTATTAACTAAAGTGGAATTTGAGTGTATTCCCAAATGCTTTACTGAATTGGGATTTATATTCCCTCAAAATTTGCATCTGTCAAAACTGGTTTTAAAATGATAGGTGAGATTGTAACTGCAGGGAATGGGGAATGGGGGGAATTGAGGTGGTTTATTAATCTTGGCATTGCTTCCCAGCCCATTCTCTTATCTGCAGTCTTTAGATTTTCTGGAACAAAAGTGCCACATATGGGATGTGATTTCAAGTTGGGATTGGTTAAAACTTAGAAATATAACTTTCTTCTCATGTCCTCAAGACAGTCTGAAATGAACTAGTTCAAATAGAAACAGTCCACTTACACAGGTCAAGCATTAGTGCAAAGACAATTATCTATCAGGAGCTGAAGTTGTTCACTGCTTACAGCAGTTTTTGAAAGGCCCATCTCTAAATCTGTTTCTATTTTCATAAGAGTCTTTTGAAGTTCTGAAGAAATTCAAGTTTTCTCAGTCCTGTTGCATTGACAACTGGCTCTTCCTTTCTTTGCTGCTCTTGGTTCATAAGCATATAAAAAAAA